TTATTGTAATCCTTTTTGTTTGTGGCTACTACCACAGTTAGAAATTAAAGTTATGTTCACAGTATTCTTTTTGCTGTTGAGAAATGAATTTTCTGAACAAATCTTCAAAGGGACAACTCCCTAGGTAAAAATACCTCAAGGATGGGATTTAGTTTTAGTGCATGTGTGAATGAAGAAAAGGTGGGAAAAAGAGAAAAGAAAGGCCTAAGATAACTTATCATTTCTCTTTTTTCTCTCATTCTCTTTTAATTCTTTGCTGTGTTCTTTTATAGATAAGTCTTTCTAGCTTTTCAGTACTTTATTGTCACTATCATATTTACACAGACCTGTTTTTTATATTATTTCTAGATCATTAAAAATTCGCCTTTAATTTTTGCACATTGTCAGTATTTGAAAATAGGATTGTTGTGGGTTCACGCTCAGTGCTGTTGTCTGTATGAGTAGCAGGTATCATTTTGTGCCTTTAGGCTCATTGTCTCCATCCAATGTGTTGGTTTTCTGGGTTTTAGCCCTTCCCATTTAGAGGACACTTATTCCTTTTGTTTCAAGCAGTTTTACACCACCACCACCTGTTCTTTCATTTTCTATGTAAAACTAAATAGTTTTGCTGACATAAAAAGTTCTTTCTCATCTCTTACAGTAGGTTTAATGTTTTGCTCATGAAGAGAAACTATAGACTCAGACGTGGATCATGATTAGAATTAAGACATTTTCAGTGCCGGTGGCATGTCAGTGTTGATGGCAGCCAGTTCTTCTGCCCTTCCTTTAAGCAGCTCAGGGACCCTGAGTCTTCCAGCTGCTGCCTGTGCCTAATCACGGAAAGCCCTCTTGTGGGAGACACGGGTGCTAATTTCAGCCTCAGAAAGGGTATAATTAGTTTCTCCTTTTGCTTACCTGTTTACGTAGTACTTACTAACTAAATATTTGTTGAATGAGTGAATTAGGTTTTTGTTGATGGTGGTAGGTTTTGTTTTTTTTTTCACTTTTGTTTTCTGCTTTTTGGTTTAATGTTTAAGTGAAGACTTAGGGGTGATTTAATTGTTTTCAAATTCAATTAAGTCATATATTCTCAAAAAGAATGTTCTGGAAACCTGAAGAAGGCTGAAGATGTAGCAGAGGGATTTGTTAGATAGCAATTGGAAAAAATTTTCTGGCAGAACAGGTTATTTAAACACTTTCTAAGGTTGCCAATGTGGTGGTGGAATCTGCATAGTGGCCTTTGAAAGTAAGATTATTTCTTTAATTTGAAGTATTTTAAGGGTGAATCTTTCCAAAGTACATGGTCTAGTTTATAGTCTTTTGTGATGATATAAGAACCAAAAAGTAAGATTAACTTTTCCATTCATTTATAGAAAGTTTATCATTTTCAATAGGAATATTTAAAATAGTGTAGGAAAGAAGGACCTTTTAACCCTAAGCCCCATTATTAATCTTTATTTGGGATTAAAAATGTTATAGCAGGTTCTTTTTTCCCTCAGCTTCATTGAGGTATTGACATATATTGTGTAAATTTAAGATACACAATGTGATGATTTGATACACATACATATTGCTAAATGTTTACCACAATAAGGTTAGTTAATGCATCCTTCACCTCACATAATTATCATTTTGTTTTTATTGTTATAGTGAGAATATTAAAGCTTTACTTGCATAGCAACTTGCAATTATTGGGTTGTCAGAAAAGTCATGACGTATTTTTTCTGTTTTTCGTTGCAAAAATGCATCATGACTTTTCCGACAACTCAGTATATGATACAGCATTGATGACTATAGTCACGTTGCTGTACATTAGAGTCCCAGTAGCAGGTCTTTTAATAGTAGTTGGGCATTTATTTTCTGCTTGTGTTAAAAACTACTAATTATTAGAGACGATGTATATTTCTCATCTTCTGTAGTACTTAATGCTGTTGTAGCATTTGTGATCACATAATATTTAAAAAATAAAATTTTATTTGCTGTAATTTACAAAAGGCATTATTCTCCAAAGGAATATTTTAAATAGTGTATAAATAAGAATTTACTTTGTTCCCACATTTTTCTTTTTTAAGCTGTTAATCTTTACTTGGATTCAAGAACTTGCTAGTCAGTATTTGGTAGTTACTATTTATTAGAATTGGTGTGTGTGTGTGTGCGTATGTGTGCACGCGTGTCTGTGTAAGTATATATATGTGTATGTGTGTATATAAATATGTCATTTCAAAATTTCTTAATTTTAAATTTTCAAAATTCTAGGAATTAGATGTAAAGAAAAGAGCACAGTAATCTAAGGTGTTTATTAGGCTGTTAAGGATTTCTTATTTTTTTAATTAAAAAGACTTATAATTGAAAATTTTTGACACGTTAATACAGTAAAGGTTAAGGGGATTGTATATATAAAAGTAATAATGTATGCTCTTAAAGCTAAATATTTAAAAATTTTTAAAAGAAGAAAGATTGCTTATACATTTATTGTTAGGTTTTAGTTTTCCCTTTTTAGTCCAAGGAATAAATAAATGTAAATTAAATGTTTGCTATAAATGAAGAAATTGTCATTTATAGGACATTCATGTTTTTGTTACTTAACCTATAGGCATTGCTGTCACATTAAGTTGGCAAAAATAGAAATATCTATAGTAAATTTCCTCTTTTATAGTATTTGTTTGGCTGTGTGGATTTTTATCCTGGCATTTCAGAATGATATTTAAAGAACACTTTTCTTTTTCTCTTAGCCTCTTGAATTGCTTTGGCACTCATTAGATGAATGGCTAGTTTTAATAGCTACAGAACTGATGAAAAACAAAAAGGACTCAACGGATATCACTTCTATTTTACTAAAACAAAAAGGCCAAGATCAAGATGGTGCTTCAATTCCTCCATTTGAACCTGCAGGACCTGGGAGCTATGAAAATCTATCCACTGGCACCAGGGAATCTAAACCAGATGCTCTAGGAGGGAAACAGGAAGCCAGTGCAGACTGTCAGGATGTTATTTCTATGACAGCTAATCGGCTAAGTGCTGTCATTCAAGCTTTTTACATGTGCTGTTCTTGTCAGATGCCTCCAGGGTAAGAGGGTTTCTGCTTTGTTTTGTGTGCAGGTCTCAGCCTATCAATAACCAATCTTGTGGCTGGACTAGCCCTTGTGGTTCTTATTATAATTCCAAGGCGCCCTTTAGCAATAACCATCAGGAAACTTTGAAAAAAAAAAAAAAAGAAGGTTTATTACTTACAAGGTCTGGAAATTACATGGCACACCTGGGGCCACACAGCGAGGTCGCAGGGAGAGAGCAAGAGGGAGAGAGCGGGCCCACGAGAGCGAGCTAGCTCGCAAGCGGGTGTGCCTGTGGGCCTGCAGTTCTGCTCTTTGGGGGGTCGAGAGTGTGGGGGGGCCTAGGGTTTCTGGGGCTCTCTTTGTTAGTGAATTTAAAATATAAAAGCGGGAATTTAAAGCACGGGAAGAGAAAAAACAAGTGGGCCAAGTGGTCAGTTATCGAAATCCACCAAGATCTCTCAGACAAAAGAGCGTCAGTGGGGAGAGGTGGCCCGGCTCTTTATCTCGTTGTGTGGCTGGCAATGTGTTTATTAAAAATAGCCATCTTTGAAGTGTATACCTCTTTGAAGTGGAACCCTTGGCAACCAAAACTTAAGTCAGGCGCTTGCATTACAAAAAAAGAGAAAACCTAACTGTCAAGGCTTACACTATGTGCTTATTATTTCCTTCCCTGATAGATGAAGAAACGCTATGACTGTTTTGTAATTTCAGTAACAACTGAATAGTAATTTGTTGATTTTAGGTTCTTTTCTGATCTTTTTTAGGATACTCATTGGACTGATCTAGAATTAGTCCAAAATATCTGAGTTTTAAGCATTATTTAACTCATTAACATGTAGAATAGTGAATGCCGCGTTGTATAGGATCCCTTACATTATGTTTTCAGAATGTATAGAGCAGTGATGCTTAACAATTCAGGGTCTTTAAAGTCACTTGTTTATATATTATCTGTTAATGAAAACTTATATATATAGTTTTTCATCTTACAGATTGACTAGGCAAGCCTCAACCTCTTAAATTTATAGACACCCCAAACCCCCATTTTTCTTTTCTTTTCTTTTTTTGTCTAGAAGTCAGTCCAGTTCAATACATAGTTATCAAAGTTGCTGTATCGCCAACTTTTGTTTATGTGTTCTGATTGTTTTTTACCTCCCCCCATAGAATGACTTCACCTCGTTTCATTGAATTTGTCTGCAAACATGATGAAGTTTTAAAATGCTTTGTTAACAGGTAAGGCTGTCTTTGATTCATGGACTGCCTTTATAGGCTTTTCACTCTCTACTTATAGTTTTCATTTCAAGAAAAAAAAATTTTACTTCTGTTAAACTATGAAAAAAATGCTGTGACAAGTGAAAGTATAGTAGGTGTGGATTAATATACGTTACTCTTCTGTTTCAGTATTTATATACGTGAAAATGCATTTCCTTTAATTCTGCTTATCCTTCCTATCCATATAAACAAAATGTATTTTTCTTTTAGAAATCCCAAAATTATATTTGACCACTTTCACTTCCTCCTTGAATGTCCCGAGTTGATGTCAAGATTCATGCATATTATAAAAGCACAGGTAGAAATTTTTCTTAATCTTGTTTTTAGTTTGTCTAATGAAAATTAATTTTTTAAAATTTGAGTACTGTGTAGTAACGTAATTATTGCACTTGAGACCTCCTCCTATAAGAGGAGCGAAAGTACCTTATTCTTTAGTATGTGGGGTTACATTACATTAGTATGTTACTTTAGTATGAGGAGTAATTTTTCTTCTTTAAGAAATGTGTTTTGAGGGCCTATTATGTGCAAAGATTTGTTCAAAAACAATAGAAGATGTTGCCACATTTCCTGAAATGAGTTTCATGGAACACTAGTCCTATAAGGTTCATAGACCTTGAGAAAAGGATTTTATCCCCAAATACATTTGGGAAATATAACATATGCCCTTTCGGAGATTTATAAAGTCTATCAGCAGCTTGTTAAAGGCTTTGAGAAGCCCTTTGGTAAAAATAGGGATTTAACTTTGTTAATCCTCCAAATTTATTTGACCTGAGAACCTTTCCCTTTCCAGGGTTTATTCCACATGTCTCGTGTTTCGTGAAACATGTTAGGCAAAGCTTGTTTGGTACTGTGTGACTTTGGGCACATTTCCAACATCCTTGAGCCTTGGTTTTCTTCATCTGTAAAATAGATAATGACACCAACCTCATAAAATAATTTTGAAGAATAAATTTTAAGTAGTGACTAATATGTATACATATATATACCAGTAAATGGTAGTTGTTTTGCTGATAGAAGACATATATCTTTTCTCTAAGAGTATCTTAATCAGTCTAGCAGGGAGGATAATACATGTACCTACCTATAAAGGAGGAATTACAGCATCACCTGGTTCTTCAGGAGTTTAAGGGATGAAGAGCTTGCTTCTGGCTGCTATAATCAAGGGAAATTTCAAAGAGAAGGTGGATTCTAAACTGGACCTTGAAAAACATGCAAATTTTGATGGGAGTCAATGGGGAAGATGACCGCTCTAGCCAAGATATGGACCTGGGCATGTAGGTGAAAAAGTGTATAAAACTACAGTGGCTGAAGCAGAAATTTTGTATAAGTGAGGAATAAGATATAATTCTGGAAAGGTAGATTGGGGTCATACTGTGTTGAACCTTGATTGCCAGATTAAACGATCTTCTTTGTTTGCTAGGCTGTCAGGAGTCACTCATAACTTTGCTTCAGGAGAATGACATGTTCCTGGCAAATTAGGAAATAATTTGTTTAGGAAATAATTAGGATAGACCAGAGGCTATGGTTTGGTTAGTAGTCATAAATACTATAGGTGTTTTTAAATGTCTATAGGGACACTGACCCTTTCAGAAGTTAAAGAAAGCTAAGAACTCTTTCTTATAAAATTATACTCAGGTGTATAGATATCCTTTGACATCTGTTTAATAATGATAATGTAAAGGAGAAGGTAGTAATAATAACTTAACATTTATTGAATGCTAACTTTAGGTGAGGTACCATTCATTTGCTTCACATGGATTATTTTTCTCATTTTCATAACAACCATGTGAGACGGGTACTCTTACTGAAGCTGAAGAGGTCAAGTAAGTTGTTTAAGTCATTCAGNGGTGGATATGGAGAGACCTGTGAAGTATTAATTCAATATCACCCTAGGCTTTTCCAGACAATTATTCAAATGACACAGAATGAAGATCTCCGAGAAAACATGGTAATGTAATTGTGCTAGTATCTTGTAAATGAACAACTTTATTCATGCTTAGTGTATATATGGCAGTTTACAAATGTGCTTTGTAATTTTATTATAAATATTTTAACATTTGTAATATATGAATTTGCTTATCTGTATTATAGGATAAGTATGAATTATATAATAACTAATAAACCTTGTGCTAATATTTGGCCCTATATATCTTCTGTCCTCTGGATCTTTGCTATCTCTTTAAGATAATTAGAATATTCCTCATAGGTAGAGGAAAAGAATCTAAGGAGGAATATTATATTAAAATTGGTAATCACTAGTTTACTGATCTTTGTATTTAGAATAGCGCTACTCTTTGAAAAATTGCAAAATTTTATTTTCTATTAAATTTTAGAATTAAATTTCTGTAAACTTGATATTTTCTGTTCTATTTATATTTTTTATTGCTTTTTTACTGGGGGATTTTGAACAAAGATTTTATGTCATCTCTACATTTATGCAAGGCAAAATAACTGTAAAGGACTTGATTGCAGCTAATTGGCTTTGGGATACTTATTAAACTAATAGGTACTTAATTTCTTGATAAAGTTTAATGGATTACTAAATAATCACTTTTTTTTATTTGTAAAATTTTAGTTACGGCAAGTTCTAGAACATTTGTCTCAGCAAAGTGAAAGCCAGTACCTAAAGATTTTAACAAGCCTTGCTGAAGTTGCCACAACAAATGGTCATAAACTGCTTAGGTAAGTGTTTCAAAATATAAACAGATCAATAGGTAGCAGCATCTGTCAGCTTGGTCTCCTTTTAGGCTTTTCTGGGAATAGTTTATTTTGTTAGATGCCTTTTGTCAGTGGTGAGATGTTCTCAGAATTTGCTGACACATCACTGTTTTTTTTTTTAAAGGACCAGGAAGTCAACGTTTACTGAGGAGACTTTAGTCTGTAAAGAGACTAAAACTAGAGACTTACTTAAATGGATGTGGGCATGTGTGTCTAGAATTTTATAAAATGATTGGTTAGACCAGTCATGTAAGTAAAATGTGCATAAAGAAGAATTAAGGAAGTAGTTTAGGAATCTTGATCACTAATTATAAAACTGGGTATAAGCTGCTTTTCAACCCCTCAGTATTACCTCATGATTCCTTACAAAGCTTCTCCCTGAGCTGTCCCCCTCATTTCAGGTCTTTATTCTTTCCAAAAGATTCTGTGATTTCAATGGCTCATCACTAAGCCCATGGAGTTAAAGCCTTTATGTATATGCATGTATATATGTATTACGTTTGCCTGCAACTACATTTGTTTGCATGTGGTAAGCTACCCCAATTAGGAGTAAAGAGCCGTTTAGAAATGGTTAATGTGTTCTTTCGTAGCTTACACATTTGGCCCACCTCTAATTTGGATGCTTTCCCCTCTGTAGTTTTTCTTTTCACCTCTATTCTTAATACACTGACAGTCTTAAGAATAGGTCATGTTCTTCTCTTATCTCTGTTAGTTCCAACTGGACTTTCTCCCATCTCCATGCTGCTTCTATAAATCAGCTACATTATCAAATCCATTTTGTTAGCCCTTGTTTTCTGTCTTCAGATTTTTCATATACTTCAGACAAGAATC